GGGAGTGGGGCTGTATCAATAACAGCAATTTTAAAACACAAATAATCCACAAACTGCAGGCAAATGGAAGATCATTCCCTTTGGGGCTCTGTTTTTTACCCTGAGCCACTCCTCTGGCTCCTCAGGGAAAGCTCTAAAGTGGGAACCGTGCACCAAAGAAGATCAGAAACAGAAGAAAAGAGAGCATTTCCCTTTCTTCTGCACATCCCAAACTCAGCAGCACTTCAAGCACCACAAAACCATGAAGTGCAGGAGTTTAGCACAGCAATTCCAGCAGGCAGAGGCTGTGCCTGGTGCATTTTTTGGAGCTCCTGGCTGATTCCTTCTGCATGCACAAGAGCTAATTGCATCCAAGAGCTCTGTGCCTGTTGGTCTGGAGGTGTAGAGCCATATGTTTGGTGTACATTTAATTATCACCRTGCAGCTGCACCACAGATCCCACTCCTATTTCATTGCTAGGCAGGAGTCCCACAATTCATAGTTATTAAAATAATTGCCCCAAGATTGAGGTGCTTGGAAATAGTGGAGCAGCCCAGCATTTCTTTCAGAAGAGAAATTACCCAGGAAAGCCAAAAGGAGCAGCAGGAGGAGCTGAGGGGCTGCCAGAGGTTAAAACAGAGCATTTTCTAAACTCTGGAGCTCACTGGAGTGTGACTCGCTGGTGTATTCATATTCACCATCAGATTCAGGGCTTTTTTTAGCTCCCCGCAATCTTTTTCTCCAGGCATCGGAAATTTAATTTTGAAATTCGATTTGTGCAAGGCACGCCTCGGTCTGTTTTATCTGCTGCTGAAGCACCTGTGTTCAATACTCATCTGCCTGTGGAAATCATTCCAGGTGGAGGGATGAGTAAAGGTGCAAACTGCACACTTGGATTTCGGTCAGGTTTAACCACCAGGATCTCTTTTTGTGCTGTACAAAACCAATTCACACAAAAAAACCCAAAAAAAAACAAAAAAAAAAAAAAACCCCAAAAAAAAAAAACCAAAAAAAAACCAAAAAAAAACAAAAAAACCCTGAGCTACAAGAGCAGAGTGAATGGACAACACAAACACACAAATTGAGGGCGACCTCATGGATCCAGGACACAAATCCAAAGACCCGGAGGTGTGGTTAGGGTTTAAAAGCAGAGGAAATTCAGCTTTTCATGGGAATGTTCTTGTCTTGTCCTGTACCAAGGAAATAATCTGAATAATCAATGTAAATCTGTGCAATTATAGACAGCAATGCATGGCTGAGAAATAATCAATTTTATTGTTCTTGTCCATTCATAAAGTCATCAATATAATTGTGTGGAGCTGGTTGAGCCCTGCACACAGGAAAGGGGAGATTTCCAGGATTTGTCTGGGGACCACAAAGGGCAGAGTCCAACAGCGGGATCCACATGGGGCTGTGACCCCAAAAAGAGCTCTGATCCCATAGAGGGCTCTGACCCCATAGAGAGCTCTGACACCACAGAGGGCTCTGACCCCACAGAGGGGTCTGACCCCAAAAAGAGCTCTGACCCCACAGAGAGCTCTGACCCCACAGAGGCCTCTGACCCCACACACAGCTCTGACCCCAAAAATGAGCTCTGACCCCACAGAGGGACCCCACAGAGAGCTCTGACCCCAAAAATGAGCTCTGACCCCACAGAGGGCTCTGACCCCACAGAGAGCTCTGACCCCAAAAAGAGCTCTGACCCCAAAAAGAGCTCTGACCCCACAGAGAGCTCTGACCCCAAAAA